GGTGTAGTTCTGTGGAAGCAGCAATCAGGTAAAAGGGTCTGGTCTTCCTCCGAAGGTCCAGTGGTAGGTAAGTAGCTCTTGTCCTCTGGAACTCTAGTGGGGGGGAAAAACTCCTCTGGGAATCCAGTGGAAGAAAGGCTGCTAGGGTGTTCAAGATCTCAGTTTTTATTTGGCATGGACTGCTTGGCTCCTTCCCCCCGGGCGGAGCATCTCACAATGGGATGGGGAGTCGTGAGGCAGTTCCTTGATGGGCCATTAACAGGAGATAGTCCAGAGGGGGCAGGCAGGGAGCAGCGCCCCACCTGGTCTCAACAGCTCCTGAAGATGGTAGTAGAATACTTTTTTTGGCACATCTTACACTGTAACCTAGGACAGTGAGAATGCAAGAAGATCACAGGAAACGTGTTCCCAAAGGTGAGGGAAATCCAGAGTTTCCTAGAAAAACCCTCAATAAGAGGTGCTTTTAGGAAATACATTCAGAAAGCAGAGACAAAGAGGCCTCTTGCACCCTTGCAAGTGCTTAAGGACTTCAGGAGTTATTTTTCTAGCATTGCATTGGACATTATGGCTATAATATATATTATATTTATTTTTGTATGTAAAAGGCAACGGCAAATGCTTGAGCTCTGTGACTGCCAGTACCATTAAACTTTCAGCAGACTCTCTGGTCTTGACTAACAGCAGCTATTGTTCTCTTGGACAATTCCCTGGCATAGCCTGGGGAATGCTGCAGCCCAGGTGTTATTCTCCATAATAGTGTGACTGTGGCTGCTTGCTTATAGGGAAGGGAGCAAGCCATATGGGCACAGGTTGTGCCTTCCCACTTGCTGTCAGAGTTGAAGAACTGAGCCTCACATGGTTTATTTACCAGTATGTTTGGGATTTATTACTCCTTCGATCCCTGTGGGATACAAAAGCTGGAAAGTAACCTAGGTGGTGACCCTGTGTTGCAGTAGGTGGAGAGACCCATGAACATCTTACCCTGCTCTTTGTTTATAGCTTGCTGAAGAGACCACAGATGCTGCTGAAAAGACCAGGGAGCTCCCACGGAGCCTGGAGAAAATCGAAGAGCTCCTTGGAGTGGTGGACAGCTGGGCAGCAGAGGTTGGATGCCTGCTTGGCAAGACTGGTCACGAGGGGCCTGTGGAACCTGAGATGGAGGAACATTTGCAGGTGAAAATGGAAATACACTGCTTAAAATACTTGTTCATCAGATTCTCATCTTTCAGTATGGATTTGTTGCTGGGGTAAAATGAGCCATCACCAGTGAAACAGAAATGGATGCAGTTTTTGTGCTGTAACACTGGTAAAAAGTCAAGGCAGTGCTAGTGATTTGATGTCATTCCCCAGGATTGCTCCCAGGTGAGCTATAAATGAGTCTTCCAACAGCAGTGTGTCCAGATGACAAGCAGGTGCCAATGAAGTGCTGTTGGAGCCACTGATCAGCAGCTTCCTCTTGAGTGATATTAATTACCCCCTGACCAGCACAGCATCTGCAGCAGGGCGCTGAGTTGAGAAGTTCTCCTGGTCATACAGTGCTTGCTGTCATCTACCCTCTAGTGCAGGGAGGAGGTTTGGGACAACTTGGCTGTATTCAAGGCTTACCTGTCAAAAACTGGAATACTCGAAGTATTTTCAGCAGCATGCTGGGAAGTCTGTACATCTCGGTTTGTAGGCAGTTGCTTTAAAAATCCATGATGAGCAGTGATGAATTTCTTGTGACTTCTACTAGTCTGTATTGTTTCCTATGTCCCTTTGCCTGGGACTACTGTTTCCTCCGCCAGAAGGTGTCAGGTGGAAATATGTATGTGTAACTCAGCAGCTTCAGTACAAGGTCTGATTTATTTTCTTCACCTGCTGGTGAAGATGAGACTGAACAAAGATGCCAAGCTTTGCACTGGAGAAGCTGAAGCACTGTCTTTCATTGCCTTTTGCTATTTCTGCCACAAGGCCAGCGTAATCTCATGGTAGGAAAGTGACCACCAGAAGGAGGTTTTGTTGGAGCTCCTCTGTCTAAGTGCTAAAATTAAACAGAGATCTTCTTTGGTACATTAAATCCACCTACAATAAGTGTGAACCAGAATTCGTGTTCATTTGCTTTTGGTTTGTGCCGTCTGGCACTGTGTTTAGTTAACAGAATTAAGAGTGTGAGCCTATGAAAAGAATCTATTCACCATCTTGTAATTGTGGGCATATGTTTCTAAAATAAGGCGTATTTTGCAGTGTGACACTAGTTTGTTAAAAACAACAAAGTAACAAAAGACACCCTGAAATGCAGCCTCCAAAAATGTGACTGGTATTGTATCTCCATGTCTATGAGCAGAAGAGATCAGAGCGCTTATTACCTGTGGTGCAATAGGTTGAGATCCAGAATAAAGCACTGGTTATCATTAGGAGAATGCTAATTGACAACTTCAAACAGGAAAATGTGTTGAATATTCATAGATCAAAACAGCTCTAATAACGACATTTCATCATAAATATTCAAATAAGGCACACTACTTTTGCATGCAAAATTCCCAGCTGCTTCTTGCCTTTTGGTAGTGAATAACACAAGAAAATCTGAGCCTAGATATGTGCTTACTTTTGGATGACTTCATGATCAGAAAATGTGTATCCAAATGTGTCGTTTGTGCATTCATTTGGAAAGCTGTTTGGATGGGAGAGCGTGTTTAAAACATAGTTCTAATTGGCTCTGAGGCAAAGACATGGGAGGTATCACATTGACAGAAAGACCGTTTCAGAAAACAGAATCCCCTGTGGATGGCAGCAAATTTCTTTCTCTCTACACAAGAGATTTTGTAGTGCAATACACTGACCATAATTGGAATGTAAGATTTTTCCTTGACCGAATACTGACCATCCATGATCAATTCTGGCTGTTTTATTCAGTTCCTTTTAAACAAAAAGACATAAATACTGTAGAGACTTCTAATGCTTTTCATTCAACCAGAGCTTGGCTGCAAGGGGAACCTCATGCCAAGAACAAGCTGTGGCAGCAGAAGAGGTATTGCAATCCCTGACGCAAAATGTTTCGAGTCAGTTGTCTCAAGAGCATTCTCACACCACTGGGCTGCAGGCACGAATTAAAGAAGCCAGAGACAGGATAGAGGTACTCCTTTTTTGTTGTCATTGTACTTTATACACACAGACATCTCTAATTTTAGCATTATGGGATTAGGAAGACTCCTTGTCATTCATGTAAAAAAGAAGATGTTTTGCACTATTGGAGTCAGTCTCCCAGACTCTCGCTGGAGTGAAAACTAGAGCAGTTCAAAGATCAGTATCTCAACTCGAAAAACTTGAGTGATGTTAATAAGCAATAGCTTTGTGTATTTACTGACGCTCAGGAATGTTCTGAAAAGAGTTTCTCTCTTCCAAGGCTATCATGGGTGACATGAACAACATCTTGTCCAAATCTGAGAAGAAACCTGCAGAGAAGGAGGCCTTGCTCAATTTTGAAGAATCCCAGAAAGAACTCGAGGCCTCCATTTCAAAGGCCGTGCAACTTGTCAGTCAAAAATTAGGTCCTGAAGAATGTATTTCAAGATATGAGGTGGGTTTGTTTTCTAAGCCAGCTGAATTTGAGTATTTCTTACAGCTATTTAGTTTCTAAAAGGCTGAAGTACCACAGGGCGAAAAAGATCAGATTATTTTTTTTGGTAGCTATTAATGCTTTTCTCAGCTTTTTGGTTTAGCACTGTTAGCATATATTAACTTGGCAGACAGCTTGAATGAAGAAATGTAAATCTGCATGGCAGTTTATTCAGTGCCCTGTCTTAACTTAAAATACTGCATCATCCCATCAGAACTCACCATGTTCTGGACTACAGTAATTTTTTTTTCCTGATTAATAATTAAGATTCCCATCAAGAATCAGATGCTTGAATTCCTGGATAAGTTTTTAAAGCGTCAATCTCCTCTTTTTCCCCAGTGGCTAACTCATAAAGAAAGTGTCCAATCTCATAATCTGAATCTCTTAAAGGGGTCCTCAGTGAGGTATCAAAAATGGAAGCGCCCAAAGTCCATGTTGCCTCATCTTGCACAGTGAGACGTGGGCGGCGATGTGCCGGGAGTGGTGCAGAGCCTCACTCCAGGCCATCTCATAGGGGCCCGTCGCACTGATGCAGACCTGTCACCCGTTCTCTGACAGGCATGGGACATGGCCATGTATATTCCCTAGAAATGAGGCAGAATTCACGGATATTAATCTTTCTTCTTCGGTACCAAATTTGCCCATAAAAGAGGAGTTACTAGAACAACAGCTGCTTTTCTCCGAAAAACATACAGTGATATTGTGTGCAACCTTTTGCAGATAGCCAAGGGTGGAGAATACCCTTATACTCACCCATGCAAGGGCTACCACAGCCCACACATGCAATGTATACATGCTTTGTGCATGGTTTTTGTGTGCTACTGCTGTCATTTTATTAGGTAAATAAACTACGTTCAGTTGTGTTTATTTTTCATTATCATGCTTTTCTTGCAGGAAGCTTTTCATGCTCTGGACAATAAAGTTCTTGACAAATTTTTGAAAGCAGCTGAACAACTGAAAAATATTTCATCTGATCATGAAAAGCTGGTAGTGGATGAGAAGAGTAAAGGTGTTCGTAAAAGATGGGAGGTGAGATAATACAGGAAGGAGAATCCACCGACTGTTCCCATTAGGCCTGGCATCTTTGAAAAACAATTTTTTTGTCACAATATGTTCTGAGGTTTTTATTTGCATTGTAATACTGTCTCACCATCTCACAGGGACAATGTGTTTTGAATTTTGCAGGCAGTTCATCATGAATTTATATCCTGTGTCCATCTCATAGTAGAAAGGGAAAAAAAGAAATTTAATGCGACTTTAAAAAAAATCAATAAACAATTAGGTAAAGAGAAGAAACTCCTAAGTATGGATAAAACCAAAGGGCTCCTCAAGGAACATGAGGTACCTGCCACACTCCTTTTCTGCACACCTACCTCTCTGTGTGAATGCTCTGTGTGTCCTTCTTGCTCCTTTTTAGGTACATTATTGCAGCCTGTGTTTGTGGAACGGGGCCCTTGTGCTCTATGTTATGTAAACACAGAACAAAGAGGCCACCCAAAGTATTTCTTTACCTTCTTTGAATGCAGCTATTAACCTCCTTGCAGACTTTTAGAATTACCTCCTTGTTATGTGGATGGTGTCTTTTTTCCATTTTTTTTAAGACAGCCTTGAAGCATTAGAACAGATTTAGCTGTGCAGAGTGTAAAAATAAGAAATGATTACGTGATCTGTGTCTCCTGTTATTTGTTACAGTTACATAGATGGTGTTAGGTGCCTTCAGATGAGAGTGTCTTCTCACAGTGCCATAGCTGCACTTGACCTCTGTGTATGTGCTGTATATAAATTAACCGTAGAGTTAGACATAAGATGTCAGGTTTCACTTGCCAGAGTGAGTCATGGTGAATCTTACATATCCATAAGCAATGCGTTTTACACACCATTGCTTCTATTATTTTCCCTCATCCTCCTCTTTGAGACGCATTGCTGTGGCCAGTTTTATACGGGTAAGAAGTTGCTCCCCTGATGAAATTCTGGTCTTCACTGAATTCAGTGGAGTTTTAGTCTTTGCTTCTCGTGGGTTCGTTTTCAGCAAATATTACATATGCAAGAGTAAAGAGAAAGAAGCATTCTCAGGTGCATTCCTTCTGCTCATGTTTTTGTTAGGTTTTTAATATATCTAGATTTCACCTAGGAAGTATGATGATTGATGGTGAATGTTTTAAATAAATTTTCCAATTCTCCTTTTTCTGTAGTCGATGGGACATGTATATCTGATGTCAGTGTGAAGAGGACTTGGGACCAAAATAGCTAAAATTGTAGTAACATAATGAATTTCAAAATCAAGCAAGAGTCAGTATAGTCTTGTGAGTGCAACTGGGGAACATGCTGCCAGAAATACTAATTTTTTTTTCCTGGCTCTATTTGAAAACGAATCAAGGGAAAATAAATGTTTCTGTCCTGGTTTGACAGCTTATGCTTTAAGTGCACTCATCCGAGAAGACAATGGAAATAGAAAAATATGTGTGAGAATAATTGCATATCCTCATGACTTAACACGAGTTTATTATATTGTTTTTCTTTGTTTAGGCCTTTTTTTCACATGAAGGCAGCCTGAGGGAACTTAGCAAGTCATTAGAAGACCTTAAAATACTGGGAAGACTATCAGAAGAAACTGTCCCAGGGATACAGACACTGACTGCAGACTGTGAACAAAAGCTAGAAAAGCTTCAACAAATTGTGACAGATACTTACACGGCCCTGCTGTCTTGTGCTGGAAAAGGACAATCATCTAAGAAAGAGTGGGTGACTGAATACATGATGTGTTGTAGCTTCATAGAAATCAGAAATACAGATAGATTTTGTGATATTGAGAACGTACTACCAAGTATTTACTATGTACATTACTGGGGGCAACTGTGCTTTTAAACAGTATTAAGTTTCATAAACTAGCAAGTGCAATGTTTGATTACCCTTCATCACAGCTGCACTGTTTTTAATCATTAGCCAGGATTTAGGGGTTTTTCTCCCTTTGTATTTCATATTTTGTTCTTAAGCTGAAATCTCTTTTGAACCATAGGAGCTCCGTTGTTTCTTCTGAGAATGGAGAAAATCCCAGTTCTTCACAACAAATTGATAACCGTTTGGTACAGGAGGTAAGAAGGCCATACCTACTGTTAGAAAACAGTGCTCTGTCTAGGGGAGATCATTGCCAAAGGGAAAAAGGGATTATTTCTGTTACTATTCTTATTGTGGTAGGACCTCAGTCTGGTCAGACATCAAAAACCCATTGCACTTGGGAACGTAGACTGAGTAAATATTAAAAAGTAACATGCAAGCAACAGCACTGGGCATCCCGAGGAGATGTGGGTCTCCAGCCTTGCATTATATTTTGCTGAAGAGTGGTTTTCAGCTGGAAGAGTCATGAGTGAAGCTGTGTTCAAGTGCAAACCCCCCATAGTGTCCCAGCAATTTGAACAAGTTTTAGGGGACAGAGAGAGAAAAAATAGTGAAGAGTTGGAGGCATTTGCTTTAGAAAAATATAGTGAAAACCAGACACATGCATCTTCTCAGAAATAATTTCAGAGAGAGAAGATACTGCACTTCATCGTTTGGATGCCACAGAAGATGTTTCGTTTAGGTTAAACATTCATGCAATTGAGGCTGCAGACAGCTCATCAGGATAGGAAGGGACCCACTGCATTTACATAAAGTTGGAAGATACGTAGGAATTGGCTATTATCGAGGGAGATCTCTTATAAGGCTACTGATATTGTCCCTGATAAAATGATGGAATCTGTTCTCTCATGGATAATCCAAGTATGAATTGTATAACATCAGCCATCCTCAAACTGAGGAGTAGAGTGTAGCCTGGAATGTAGGGCGAGAGACATGCAAAGGCACCTGGTATAAGCAGCCTGACAAAAGCTGCAGAAGACAGTGCCCTGTGGTTGCCCAAGGATGCCCGTGGAGCTGCAGGAAAAATTTTCATGAGTGGATTGTGCTTGCCAAAGACCCAGTATCTGTGGAAGGAATGAATGATCTGGCTGCAAGTGTTCAAAAATTTGCTCTTGTGGTTCATCATTGAGTTTAAACACATCTTGTGTTCATGAATGGTATCCCTCATCTCCTTTGGGACACATGAAACAGTTGCTTCTTTCAGGAGTTCACAGATGTCTGTTAGTCTTCACTGTGTATTGACGCAGCGTGATGCAGAGGTCACTTACCGTTTGTATTTTTACTCAGACCTCAAGACCTGCTGCAGATACAGTTTTGGAACCAGATGTGAAACGTCACAACGGAGAAAGCTGTGCAAAGAAATTTGAGGAAGACAGTGATTTGACCATACGAGCTTTATTAGAGAGGTAATTTTTAAAGGATAAAATGCATGTATATTAAGAGATACTATGCTAGGCGTAAATTAATTGAATGTCTTGAACATAGGGCGCACTTTTGCTATGCAGGACTGTTCTTGTTCTACTACGGTTTACTTAATATTGCTCTGTAATTGATAAGGAAGCACTGTAGTAGCTAAATGCTTCAGATGTTAGGATTTTCTAGCAAGAACACTTTGAGCTATAAAACCTTTTAATCTGCTCTTTTCTTGGGCCAGAAAAATCTGTATCTGCCTTACTAATAACTTCAAATACTGCAGAATAAAAAAATGTGTCAGGTTTTTAAAGAACTGACATTTTTACATTCATAAAACTGAATTTAGAGAATGCAGGCAGGCATTCATACTTGAAAATTAGCCATGTGAGCAATTTCTCAGCTCCTTTTTATGTTGCTCATTGGTGCCCATTCCTTCGGGACTTAGGTCAAAATACGCATTTGCAAGAGACTGTACTTATTTTATCCGGTAATCTGTTGGTCAGCAAGTCCCATACCTTGCCATATTCCATTAAATTAGGAGTAATATTCTCTCTGAAAGTGATTGCATCTTTCTTTAGCTATAACATGCAAAGAAGTAACCTGGAGGAACTTCTACAAATCAGCAGAGATAAAGTAGCATCTGGCTTTACTGATGAGATAGAAGGCACTTCATGCTTTCAGAATAAGCTGCTTGAACTACAGGTAAGCATTCATCTGTTTAAAAACATCCTTGGTGCTGAATTGTTGTTTTCTCATGTAGAGCCCTCACCTCTCCGTGTTATGAGTATCGCCAAGGGAAAAGGAGCATCCTTCCAACCAGGTTTAGTAGAAGTAGAAGGAAAATCAAGGGTTTAGGATTCAGCAGAACTGCATTCCTACTTAGCAGTGGAGTTTTGCACGTGTTGCTGAAAGAAGAAATTGGTGGCTCTCAGTTTGTGATCTGCAAGCTGAAATAGGTCTAACGGAAAAAATAACTACAGAAAGCAGCTTTTTTGTTGGCAGGACGAGTAAGTGATGGAGCATGGTCAGGGCTGGAGGAGTTGTCAGAGTTGAACCATCAAATGGCAGTGGTGTATGGGCAGAATGAAACTGTTTCAGAACTTATAACTTGATTAGGTTTGTGAGAACCTAAGGGGATGATAAAAGTCACATAATTGATGTTGGAGAATTTATTATTGCAATTTTTCAAGTCCTTGCTTGAAAGCAGTACAAAGCTTATGTAGCATCTCAGAACTTGGTTTAGTTCCGTGTTTGTTTTTTGTTCTTTTGAACATAACTAAGTTGAGATATTTTCCATTCATTCTTGTAGTAAAAATGACTGAACCGTATTTATTGAACCTTTTATAAAATGTAGCCAGGGCATATATTTGACATGGAAATTTTCATCATAAAAAGTTGCTGGAGATTTGCATACAGCTAAAAATGGTGACTTATTGAAAAAGAAAGCAATAGATACTCTTACTTTCAGGTGATGTTTTCACTTTTTCTGTAGAGACTCTTACGACTGTAACTTTATGAACTGTCCAGTCCGTTGAGAAATACAGTATCGTATTAATGCAATTAGCACGGCATATCTTTTAGGTAATAGAGAGTGAAACCAGTTCTGGTTGGACACAACTGGAAAACATCTCATCTACCTTAGAAAATCTTGTGGATGAAGTGCAGCAGGCTGCTATCTCTGAGATGAGAAGCAAACTAAAAGGAGAATGGAAAGAGCTTCAGGATATTATAAGCACCAGGTATAAAGTTACACTTCATGATATTAGCTAAGGAATAGTTCGTTGTTACTAATGTGTGTATTGTGAAGGGAATAGTGTGCATTAGAGAAAATACCTAATTAAAATTGAATAACATTGAGATTTTCTTAATTATACTTGGTTTGTATACATGTTGCAGATAGTGTGAATCTCTCCAAGAAGCGCAGAGCTAGATCTTTGTAAGATCGCTGTGCAGTATTCCCAAGTTTACTGTTACTTCCTTCAACCTTTTGGTTAAATTCACTGGGATTCACACTGCTTTTCTTATTAATCAATGGAAAAACTGCTTTGACCCCAAGAGAAGGAGGATTAGATCTGTTAGACAGTCAATTACATTATCTTTGTGGCCTTCTGTGCTGTAAAATGTTGAGTGTCTTTTCATGCTTGCTTTCCCAGTTCATTTTTTGTTACCTTTCTTGTAGAACAAATTCTTTAAGGACTGCTTTGGAAATTGTTTTGCCAATAGAAAATGAATCCATTCTTCTGTGTGAATTGGATCAGCGACTGAAGAAAAAGGACATTCAGCAGTTTAATCTGATGAATAGTGACCTTGCTTATAGGGAACTAAAGGTAAGGGAAAATGCAGAGACCACACCCTAGCCAGAATATTTTTTAAAATGCAGAGACCACACCCTAGCCAGAATATTTTTTAATGTGACTAGGAACTGGAGAACTTTGTGGGATTTTCATTTAGGAGTTTTGGACTTCCCAAGCCTTCTAAACAGCATTTTACTCCTTTTGGTTTAAATGTCATTATTCCCATAGAGCCAGCCAGGGAATAGGCTCTGCTGTAAAAAACATGGTCATGAACATTTCGTCTTAGGTTTGGACTTTCCTTTGATCCAGATTTACAGTGTTCCCACCTGCCTTTATAGCGCTTTGTGAAGTCATATCTATAATGTGGTATTAATTCGTGAGCTAAGCTAAGCTGCCTGTGTCACATCTGCTGAGGTGTCTGAGCACACCTTGGGATGGTTTTGGAAGCTCTGCATGTATGCAAGAACTTGTTCACCTGCTGTCAGTATCTTATGCCTAGGCTCTGGTCTGTCTGTTAGGCAGAGTGAGGATTGTTTTGTCCTTGACGTGCCCTCTGAGCTGAACACACTGACAGCTACGCAGAACGGAAAGTTTGCATTTGTCTGCCCTTGGCTCTCGAGTGAGGTAGGGTTTAGGTCTCTCAAGCTGTAGGGCAGGGAGCATATGTGCACTCTCTATGTGAGATGACTCTTCTTGGCTGGAAGGACCCTGAATTTTTTCCCAGCTCTCTGCACATTTGGAGTTTCACAACACTGACACACTCCTGTTTGTCTGAGGGCTGTTAACCGTACAGCATGCAGATTTCATCAAGAGATTTTCAAATGTCTTAAAAGTCTCCTCCAAAAGTATAGCATAAAGAACTTACAAGATGACAGAGTAGCAAACATCTGTGTGCCCTCCTGTGCTCTGAGTGATCTCCTACTGCGAGAGCCTGCTGGTTTCAGTCCCGGGACTCTAATCATCTCTCTCTCCTTTTTGTCTGATTGCTGGAAAGAGGCTTGGGCTTTCTGTAGTGCTGACCAAATTCCCTGTGTGTGGAATACCATTTTATTTGATTTTTCTTCTTTTTCCTTCCCTCCACCAGAGTCCAGAGTAGGAAAAAAGAGGTTTTCTTTCTTAACCGCCCTGTTTCGCATACTTATTTTATTGCTAGTACACTTTGTTTTTCAGTCGTAGGTTCAGCTTGAATGCAGAATACAGGTTTTCTTTCACTTGCTCACACTGTTGGTTGTTCTCTCAATTTCAGGAGCTACAGAGATCCATATTAAATCAGATTGAAGTGTGCAAACAATTGGAACACCTAGACAGTTCAGCAAGAGATGAGTTTAATCCAATAGATCTGCAAGCTGCAAGTAAAATTATGGTTTACTATCAAAACCAGCTTGAAGAAATGAGCCATAAAATGCAGATCCGTGAGACTGTCCTTAAAGATCTGGAGGCTTTTATGGCCTCATTGAGGAAGGTTCAGTCTTCCATCAGATGTCTCACAGATCCCCCAGGTCAACCTGAAATACTGGGAAAAGCATTGAGAGAGGCTGCACAAGATGTTTCTCATATGGTAGAAGAGGCTAAATGTTTGGATGAACGCTTGGAAACAGTTGATATCTGTTTGGAAGATGCTGAATGTGGGAGAAAGATTTGCTGTGAAAACCTTGTTCTGACTTTATCTGAAGAGTTAAATGCAGCTTATGATACCTCAAGTGAACAGATGCTTACAGAGGAAAAGGACTTCTACATGATTTTTTCAACAAAAAATGGTGAACTCCTTAAAACCATTCAGGATCTACGTGACAGAATTAACAAAGTAGGCTTGAAGGATCCAACAATTCCAGCTATTCAACAAAGGTGAATTCTTTTTTGAAGCTCTTTTATTTCATAATTTCAGTGAACTCAGAGGGCCTGAGGCCCCTTCGCAGTAGAGCGCTGAAACCTGAATGTGTCTTGAAGGGTCTGTGGAGCACTGAAAGAAGCTGTGACCTTAGGTTTTATTTGTTCCGTCGCAACCTGAATAAGGGAGCCTTCTCCGTTTTTTCTTTTCTTTTAAACTGCTGTTCATATGTTTGTTTGAAGCAGCATTGATGAAGGAAAAATAGGAGGAGGTTGATTGTTATGATGTTAATTTTCAGTAAGGAAACTGTCAAAACAGGGAGACGGGTCTTCTTGCTGAGCACTGATGCACGTGATCTGAAACTCTGCAGTGTAGAAGCCTTATGTTACTTTACTACACCCCGAGAAAGTCAGTGAAATGATTTGTATGTCTCTGATACTGTTTCAGAGGAACTCTCTGCAGCCTGGCAAAGGATGAATGAATAATTCCCTACTGTTTATGCGGAAGGAAAAAGGGAGGGGAGAGGAGCTTATAAGCTATGACCGTTTTCTAAGTTGTGAAATCCCACGCTATGGCATAGCTTCCTTTCTTAGACTGTATTTTAAGATAGCCAGAATGCACTTAAAAGTTAATGCAAAATAATACTTTGTTCATACAGACATTGTTGGCCTTTAGGATTTTGGATTACTTTCTCAAGGGGCTTAGGTCAGCATAACTCAACTGAAGGACTGTGTCAAATTACATGAACTGAAGATCAAATTAGACTTTTTATGATGTCATTTAATATAGTCAGTATGTGCAGCTCAGGATGAATTTCTAGGGAACTTAGTAATTACATAGGTGGAAAAAAATCAAAGGCTTACTTTAATATAAGGCTGTATTTCATTTTTTTCTAATAAAGGATAAAGTCATTAACAGAATTGGAAAAGGAATTGGATTCTGCTGCTGTTGAAATGAAACCTGTGCGAGAAATTGCTAATAAGCTCCAACAGATGAAAGAGGAAAAAGCAGAGGAAGCAGATGAACAGTGCAGAGCTACAGAGAGGTTATGGGAGGATACAAAACTCTTGCTTGCTGAATGGTAAGGAGGAAAGCTACATTTTAAAGTGGTATTGTACAAGTAAGAAGTTGGCTTGTAAAATGAAGCAGCAAAAAAGCCTTAGACCATGCTTTAAATGAAATACTGATAGAGTAGCAAATGTTACTGTTATGATGCTGTAAACTATCATAGAGCCAAGAATTGCATATAGAAGTTTGCAGCCACAGCTCGTGAATTTTATGTATTTTAAAGACATCACAGTCTCATCACTTAGCAGGTATGCAGTGATGTGTTGGACTTAACTGGTATCCAGAAGAAAAACCTGTCTGCTGCTGGGAATGATGCGTCTTCTATATTTGCAGTGAATTTCATGCCAGCACATTCAAAACCAAAAGCCAAACTGAAACAAATGGAAGATGACACCTGGGAAAACAGTCTTTTATGCAGGAAAAGATTAAAGGAGCTTGGTTTGATAAGGCTGTGAGAGTGAGGACTAGGAAAGGCTATGATTGATCAGCCAGGGCATCTGTCCTTCTCTTACATTTTTTAAAGATGCCTAGAGGCTTTGCATGGACTGGCACAGTTCTGATTAATCCTCATGGCTTGTGCAGGTGTCAATGGGATTGATCTGTTTTCATATCCCACTGAAGGCTGGGCTGAGGTGGTATTTCCCACTGTCCACCACCCAAACTGTTCTGGTATCTGCTGCACATTGTATTTCAGTTCACTGGTGACTGAGCTCACCTTTCAGGTGGAGAGTATCATATAAACAGAACTGCTCAGGCCACATCACAGTTAAATGTGAATCAGAGGCATGTGGTGGTGAAGGGCATTTCTGATTCCAAAAACTGTCCAAATACCACACCAGGTACCGCACAGTATTGCAGGGTTTATGACTGATACAGTTTATCCCACCTTTTCTCTCTTCCAAAGACAGTAGTCAAACTCCTCACATGTTTGAATACAGGAGAAGGACGCAGATAAGAGGTTGAGGCTGCTGTTTTGTGCTTAAGCCATAAATAATATGTCTCTTTTTAACAGTCAGGAACAGTGTGCAAGGGCTCTGGATCTCTTGAAGCAGTATCAAAGCTGCAAGACTAGTCTGACCAGCATCATCCAGAAACAGGAGATAATTCTTTCACAGCAGACTTCTTACATGGGGAAGGAGAATTTGAACAGACTAATAACAAAGGTGAGTAACAAGCACTTACTGAAAAGGAAAGAAAAGCCTTTCTTGGGAGCATTTGGGTTGCCCTTGTTCGCTCAACCTTCAGGGCAAATGTTAAGCCCTTGCTTTCACTTTGGCTTCCAAAATACGTTTAGGGACCATACCCTGGTTTTGTTTTAAGTTGATGTCTAGCTTTGCTTAGTGACTCAAGGTGTTCTTAATGGGGAAGGATTAAAAAAAAACAAACATAGAAAAACTATGATCTCCTATGAAAATAAGTTGAAATCCTGTCCTACCAAAAACACATGCTGAAATCAGCCATATTCACTCATACCCTTTAGAATGTTTCTGTATTTTCTATCAAGGTAAAAACCTGATAATGGGCAGTTTGTAAGTATAGAAAAATAGCAAATTCATTTGTTACTAAGAGCATACTTTGAAGTTCTACCACTTAAAGCAAAAATAATAGGTAATGCAACTGCTTTGGGCTGCTTGTTCTTCTGTTGTTGCTGTAGCTTATAACCAAGAATTTAGATCTGTATCCTCTCCTTGGTCGTGTCACTGGGTCCCAGGCAGGGCTGCGAGATTTATCTGCACTGTGCAGTGCTGTGCAGGGATCTTCAGCTAGCCCCAAGCAAGCAGGATCAGGAACAGGAGTCCTAAGGCTGTGTCAGAGTGGCACATCTGCTCAGGGACTGGGCCATGACAGATCTATCCTGCTTCTCAGGCTGGAGCATGTGTACCTCACTCAGAGACAGCCTTTGGATTGCCAGCATGGTGCTGCCTTGGGGTGTGGACTTCTGGAGGCCAAAATGGTTTTGACTGGACGATAGAGTATTTCCTTGAGCTGGTTACGTTTGCAGCATAAATCTCTGCCCTTGCACTGACTTTGCTGACCATACTATGTTGCAGTTAGAAGCCATAACAACATAGTTTGGTATTTCTTCTCTCACTTCTTCTATGTCACAAACCTACTTAGATCTTCTGTATAAGAGCCTTGGCCTCTGTAACCAACATTCACTCCGTGCTGTCTTTGATAGCAGTTAAGCATTTGCAGTAGCTTTTACATTAGCTGATGTGACTGAATGAGCAGGTATTGCTGGACGCCCCCTCATTTAATTTAAAGTTTATCACTTTTTTTGACAGCCAGCTGCATTCTTCTTGGCTAAATGACTACAGCCGCTGGACATAGTCATCCATGGCTAATGGATTAGCAGACAGCAGCATGTCCATTGTGACCATTTTACTGTACAGGTTTCACATTTCCTGGCTGGGTTATATAACTGGTTGTTCAGATCCCATTTTTAGGCTTTCTGATGAGTCATCGCCCATGTCATTCAGGAACATTTGCTCTTAGGCAGTGCCGGGGATGGTTAAATTTAAGAAGCAATGTAAGTGGTTTCTTCCCTCGGGCAATGGGATGGTGCCTGTGTGTGCCACCCCCGCTTCAGCTGAGACCGGGTCTTGGTTTCACCAGTGAGACCTGTGGCACCGCGTATCACTCGGGCTCCTGCTGCAGCGGAGGTTGTCTGTACACCCCAGCCCCTGCTTGTATGGCGGCCCCTCTCGCTGGTAACCACCCTTCCTCCTCACCCTGAGTTTTGCAGTTCCCACTCTCAGAACTGTGGTCTGCAATAGCTGCGGCACAGCGCAGGCATGTCGTTGAGTGCTGAAGATTTGTTATTTGTAATTATATAAAATAGTAGCAGAGAAGTCCTCTGCCTTGTTCTGGTTTGTGAGCACTGCTCTGCCATCCCTCCTCTTATCTCAGTGGCTGGCAGTATCTATATGAGAAGATGTAATGCTTGTCTCTGCAAAATAAGGAGAGCTTTTAATATCAAATTGCCTAACACTAGAGGTCAGTGTTTCTTTTCCAGCGAGCTTCCATGTTGTTTGTAAACACTGACATTACAATTAAGCACAAAGAAGCAGTCTACTGTTTAAATAGAAAGTAGGAAAAAGGGACATTTCAGTTTCTGGCAATGCCATATTTGACAATGGCTATGTTTAAGTAGGATTTAAGCTTTTTTTTTTTTAAACGTAGTTCAAAACCTGGGGATCAGAATGCCAGGTTTTATTTTTTAGAGTTGCCGTAGTATCTCAGGTGATTATTACATTGAGCATTGTTTATTTCTGTAACCGAGGTTCTGTGTAGAGTCCCCTTGGATCTTGCGATTACAACTTTTAAAGCAATCTGTGGTTTTGGCTCTCTTAGTCAGAAATATATTATCTGTAGTTCCCACTCAGCTGTTTTGCAGCCAATAAAAGAATGATACGGATTTCTAACAGGGAAGTGTTCCTATCATCATGACAGGGATATAACAATGCAGGATACATTCCCAGTCTCATATTATATAAAACAGATTATTTTGTGTAACGCTGTTGTTTCTCTAAACTAAAAAGAACAGCACATCAGTTAAAAATGTTTTGCTGAATAAACAGTCATAAGTAAACATGCTTGTAAATATCCATTTGGTCTTTTTCACAGATTGAAGAGGCAAAAGAGGAATTTAATGATCACTCTGAAGATGTAGACAAAATAAATCAGATCTGCAAAAACCTTCAATTCCAGCTCAATAAAATGAGGAGCTTTGAGGAGCCTCCGTTCGAGAATGAGGCTAACATTATTGTGGACAGATGGCTGGATGTATGTAAAAAGTAAATTATCAGGGTGGTCTTATCTGTTATGCATTATAGTAATTGATTCTGACGCGTGTGTAATATTTGGAATAAATTAAATGCAATATGGCAAAGATTCTTAAGAGATAAATCCAAGTGTTTATCAGACTAAGGCTTGCAGAGCGTCTATTGGCATAATGTTTCTGATCTCTCAGGTAGTTTATATCATGGGTGCCCCTTGAATGTAAATAATTCTAGGAAATGCAGAAAGGCGATATTTGTGCTTTCTGCGTGGATCTGTAAGCTTCCATAAAAACTTCTGTGGATTTAGACTTTGGAGACAGTCCGGAGAATTACAATGCTGGTGCTTTTGGTGAGAAATCTTTGCCGTTGTCGATCTAAGCAGTGGATCAATACTGAGATTAGATGGTATTTACTGAGAGTAGATAAACATTAATGAGCAAGGCTCCTTCCTAAACCTGCCTTAAAACTGGCAAGCTGCCGTTGTGATTGGTATGTTTGGCGACATGTGTGGCAGGGATTTAAATATCTTCTCCATGACCAGTTCACTGCGAAGATACGAGATTTTTTTTTTCCCTTGCTGCACTTGTTGTTTTTGTGGGTGGTTTCATCTCGCTCAGATTTTACTATGCTACGTTTGCTTTTAGAGTATAACTCAACATTTTTAAAATCTGTGTGTGTTTTCTGTATATAAATCTCATGGTAGATCAATGAAAAGACTGAAAACTACTGTGATAATTTGGGAAGAGCTCAGGCTTTATGGGACAAACTTCTTAGTTTATCTGGCACAATCGATGCTTGGGCAAATGCAGAACTTAAGAACGCGGAAGACCATTGTCTGACCGAAGAGGACCTTACGCAGTTGAAGGTAATTTGAATGGAAATTTTTTACGTTTAGCTTATACTGTAGTGATATGGACTTCAGACTGTAAACATGCACATCGCGTAGAAATATCAGCACTGCGAAAGCAGAGGAAGTTGTACCATTTGCAATTGTGTCTGCATGGATAGTTTCACTGAAGGTATTGCATAATGTATTGGGGATACGGGTCTTGGAAACTAATAAATAAATAGCATATATGTATATGAAATTGTTTTAAATTAATGCAACACTGCAAATGCTGCTTTAGACTACAAAAGCCCCCTCATTCCTTTGTGCTGTACAAACATACAGCAAAGAGAAGGCCTGGGAAGCTTGTGCTTTAGAGTACAGTGATACACATACTTCCTTGTGCCTAGAGAAGAAAGGGAAGAGAGTGTGTATAGGCTATTGATTAGTTTTCTAGTTAGAAATTGCCTATTAGTGAAGATATGGGAGCCTCAGAAATGGCTGGGCAATGCACAGTTCAAGAAGAGGTTGCAGAGGTGGCTTATTTGCTCCTGCGATCCTTGTCCCGGTGTGCTCCCCAGTGTCACTTAACGCAGCGTTAATAGTGGCCGGCTGCTAAGGGGCTGCGGGGGCTGCGTGCGGGCAGGCAGCGGCAGAGCCTGGGCTGCCCGTGCCCCTTTCGCACCGATTCTAGCATTAACTCTTGGTATCAGGGCGCGGTTGGGTGTAAAAACACATGCACTAGCTCTGTGCCATTGAAGAGCCTCACATACAGGGGTAAATATTTTAATTTTGACTTTAGGGCCGTGATAGACCAGCTGCACTGCTCTGTTGTGGTTATAGCCAGTATGTACTAAACAAAAATAATTTGAGTGAAGTCAGGACATAAATATATCCCATATCTGATTGTTTGCAAATAAGCAGGCAGTTTTTTTCTCTGTGTTTACATGCTACAAATGCCCTGTTTTTTATTATCCTTATTTGCAGCATTACTGCTACTGTTAGTGCTGCTCATTTGTTTTAATTTGCAGAGCAGTAAAAAGCCAAGGTATTCTCTGTATATAGATCTTCCCAGTGAAACAGTGGTATACACGCTGTGCAGAGGTGGATATTTTGTCGTATTACTATTGCCTTTGCCATTGTATTGTTAGAATTTACCTGGGGTAGTTCAGGTCCCTGAGGGCTCCATTAAAAATACACCAGCTGGCAGCTGCGTCTTAAGAGCCATTTTGTTACGTGCAAACTGCTCAAGGCCGGCATGATGTGACCATGCCGCCGACGTGCCTCTACTGGTGCTTGGGAAGGGCTGTGCTGGAGGTGGCTGCACTAAGGTTACTCTGCTGCTCCTGTGTGAGAGGCTGCTTCTCAAAAAAGAGGGGAGGAGAGGGCAAGGGAGGGAGAAACGATGTTTCCCGTGAGTTACTATAAAAGCAGAATAGGAAAGAAGACTGAACTCAGTGCATCATTATTTTTGTAAAGTGATTTAAGGTGCAGAGGACGTCAGGTTCTTTTATTAATTTATTATTATTTCTTCTCTTGCTGATCCTGAAACATCTCTACATTAATATTAATTACAAAAAAACCCACCCCAACTCTTGCAATGTATATCATGTTACATAGAGTTGAAACCTAGCAGACCACTGGTGCATGTGCTTTGAAGAAGCCTGTTGCAAAACAGCGGAGTAATGAATTATTTGACTGTATAAAGATAATTTCCATATAAATAATGTGAAAGAAGTTCTTCTTTCCCCTGTAGCCAGTATGGAAATGGGAACTCTTTTAAGGGCTGCAGCACATGAATGGATTTTGATGATTGCTTGTATAGAGACTGCAAAGGAATACTTTGTCCTGAGGGAGTTTGGAATATTTATTTGGGAATATGAGACAATGTGACAATTTTAGATATAACCTGTTTCATAAGTTGAAGCTGGTATTTTACTTTCTAATTACCGGTTTGTTCCAAAGTCCATTCAAATGACTAGGGATCTTCTCATATACAAAGGATTTACATTAAAAAAGTGCTTACAGCACATCAGGATGCAAATTCTTGACTTTGAGTCTATAACATCTGAAAATATCCCTTTTTAATAGAAGCAGCAAGACATAAATATAAAATTAAGATTATTTTCCTGCAAATTTACTTCGATTGCTATAGAAGTAAAATAGTTAAGATTGTTAAATTTATGCTAGATTTCCATTAACAACTGCTTTGCTTGGGAAACATAGAGTGTTTCTGACTCTAATACAAAAAATGTCTAAATCGCTAAAATGAGAATCAGGAAATGGACCAGTTATGGGAACTCTGTATGCCAGCATGCAGAATCAGAGTATTAGTAATAGAATCTTCTAATAGAAACATGGAAATTTAATTTTGGGGAAAACAAAGTTATCAATGTGTTTTTTCCACCTTTAGGCATGCTTGCGAGTCCAAGAGCAGAAACTCCAGAAATTTGACAACACAGTGGCTGAGATAGAAGAACTTCTGAATAGTCATGAACCTCCACTGGAACTACAGGTACAAAGAAGCTTTTACAGCTGATACATGAGTGCTTGTTACTACAGCACTGCTTCTAGTATCATCTTTGCCACAGTCATTTTTTGTTTTAACTTAAATCTACCCAAAGAGAATTGGAGGCATTTTGTTGGCTATTAGCAGTGACTTTCATTTGTTGTCTTTCTCAAGCTGTTAGAACCAAACCTGTCTAATGTCACCCCCATCTACAAGAAGGGCTTAAAGGAAGATCCAGGAAATTATAGGCACATCAGTCTTACTTCAGTCCCTGGGAAAGTTAGGGAATGAATCCTCCTGGGGGCTATCACAAGTCAAATGAAGCGTGTGATTGGGAAAAGCCAGCACAGATTCACCAAGGGCAAATGGTGCTTGACAAACCTGATTACCTTCTGTGACAAAATAACCTGCTCGTTTGATATGGGGCAAGTGGTGGACATTGTCTACTTGGATTTCTCCAAGGCTTTCAATATGGTTCCCCAATTTTCGACACGGTTCCACACAGCCTCCTCCTAGTGACACTGATGGTCAAGACAAGTGGTCTGTGGGGTGGGTGGGGAACTGGCTGACAGGCTGCACCCAGAGGGTGGTGGTAAATAGCTCCTTTTCGAACTAGCAGCCTGTCACAAGTGGGGTCACACAGGGATCGATATTGGGCCCAACACTGTTTAGTATCTTCATAAGTGATCTGGATGATGGGATCAGGTGTACCCTGATGAAGTTTGCTGATGATACCAAACTGAGTGGGGAAGTGGACTTGAAAGGCAGAGCCACCCTGCAGGAAGACCTGGATAGGCTGGAAGTGGGGTAACAAGATCTTATGAAGTTCAACAATAACAAGTGTAAGGTCTTGCACTTTGGAAAACATAATCCAGGAGTGCAGCACAGGCTGGGATCTACCTGGCTGGAGAGCAGCATTGTGGAAAGGTACCTGGGTGTTGTGCTGGACAACAAGGTCAATATGAGTGAGCAGCATGCTGCAGCGGCAAACAAAGCCCACAGGATGCTGGATTGCATTAGCAAGGGCATCACCAGCAGAGATGAAGTCATTATCCCACTCTACTCAGCACTTGTCAGGCCACACCTGGAATACTGTGTTCAGTTTTGGTCCCTGCTATACAAAAAAACTGTAGGCAGGCTGGAGAGGGTCCAGAGAAGGGCCACAAAGATGATCAGAGGACTGTGAAGCCTGCTGTATGAGGAAAGGCTGAGAGAATTGAGTTTGTTAGGCTTTAAGAAGGCTTAGGGGACACCTTATCACTATGTTCCACTATTTAAAGGGTGACTATGAAGAAGGAGACTCCTTTTTTACAAGGAGTCACATGGAAAAGATGAGGGGTAATGGGTACAGGTTACTTCTGGGGAGATTCCGATTGGACACAAGAGGAGAATTTTTCACAATGAGAACAGTCAGCCATTGGAATGATATCCGCGGGGAAGTGGTGGATTCCCCAACACTGGACACTTTTAAGATTCAGCTGGACAAGGTGCCGGGCCATTTTATCTAGACTGGTTGGACCAGATGATCCTTGAGGTCCCTTCCCCCCTGGTCTTCTATGATTCTGTCATTTTAAACACGAAGGCCTGTGCCTTCTAGGGACTTCGACCTAACACAATTGTTTTGCAGGCCTGCTGAAAGAGGTCAGTATCAGTGATGTCTGGCTTTTAGCTATTGGCCAAGACCAAGGCACGATGGACCTCGTCATCCCTTTGGGGATCTCAGCAACTCATTATGCCAACTGTCTATTTTATACTGTACCTTTACCTGGACAGGGCTTAATGTAGCTTGGTAGTATGTAGCTATTTGCATAGAGTGGTGTCTACTGTGGTGTTTTCCTTTGGGATACCACAAAGGAATCTTCATCTTTTTGTGTTTACTTCACACAGTGAAGAATAAATCCTTCTCCATAAGCCTACCTCGATCCTATACCAGTTCCCTAAGCATCCGCTCTCAGTGTCTGTCAGATGCACCTTGAGCTTGACCTGGTTTGGCTATTTGTGTTTATCCTCAGCAGGCAGTGAACTCAGAGGAGTTTCACTGGGTGAAGTGATCTAAGGAGCTTAGGAAAGGACTCTGCAACCTTGTACTGTACACACTGTGCTCCTTGGGAGCACCAGATGCCCTGAGCCCCTGGGATGGTGTTTCAGCGTGTGGCCATGATCCCATTGAGTTGCTGTCTCATGCAACTGTGTGGAAGCTTTAAGGATAAGGTTAAGGACCTGTTGCTTCTTAGTGACTAGTCTTAAGTTGAAGCTCCCCACCTCTCTGCTGTCCTTGCCTTTTTTTTTGGGTCGGTGTGGGGAACTTGCCCTGGTGAGATCACTGCAGGGAGGTGTGTTACAGAGAGAGCTGACACCCTGTATTTCATGGTAGCCAAATCGCATGTAAGGCCTTTATCCAGCTGAGAGTAGATGCTGGAGTAGACTGACAGATAAATTTGTTAGTAAAACAGCACCAGTAGTAAAGACAAACTGAGATCATTCCTCCTCAGAAAAGCAGGGCTTCAATACTATTATTTTTCAATTTGTGTAGTGGGAGGGAAAGAAACTGGAACAAACTGTGATGGAAATGCCTGGAGTTCAGATCATTTCATTGCTTCTTATGTCTGTCATGGAGTGCTGTAATATTCTGGGAAATCAACCCTGTATAATTTCTTATGTATGTTTATTTCCAATTTTAAGGTTATCAGATCATCTGTTGTGCAAAAAATGGAGCTAATAAAAGAGCTCTTGTCAACGAAGCAGAGGACCAGTGAACTCAGCGTGAATACAGCAGAACTAAAAGGAGATCTTGATCTGGCCAAGACACAAATTGGAATGACTGAATCACTTTTAAAAGCTTTATCTCCTTCTGACACCTTAGAAATCTTCACTAAATTAGAGGTAGCGTGCCACAAATTGTGCATCTTTTATAATTTCATTTGTTATTTCTCTCCTGGGCAAGTCTTCATAAGTGTTTCTCCCGTATATGTTCCAAACTGCTAGAATAACTCAAATGAAGAGCCTGGCTTGAATATTTCCTTAAGCTGCCAGAAACATGAAAGAAAAGCCTGCTTTCACCTGGTGTTATCAGATGTAGTTAGTAAACTCTTGCAGCTATTGGAAATGGTTAGTAGTAGGGACAACAAAAGTATATCACCCAACATATATTGAAGCAGTAGTGGGGGTACTGGGCTGTGTCTTTTCCAAGACTGGGTAATACACAGAGGTTGTCTTTGTGCCACCTGAGCCTGCCTGCAAGGGAAGCTCCCAGTGGGCAATTTCAGCCAAGTCTCCATCCTCTTTGCACCAGGGAGAGAGGTGAAGACAAACCTGCTTCCTGCTTGGAGGTTCAAGGCTGGTGAGGTTTAAACCTCCTGTTGAGCAGTGAGGGGATTATGCATGTTCTGGGTGTCAGACTACTAGTGTTTGGGGCAGTGAAATCACAGGCATTGAAAGAAAGATATAGCTTTTAATTAATTGAGCTCCTTCTAAGTTTCTTTCAACCTACAGGGACTTGACATACAGAGTAAGGCATTTAGGGGTGGAATAGTGCCTATGACAGCTAAGGCAGTATAGTTTCTAGGTATTATATACTCTGGAACATACTTTATTACTGTGTACTTGAAATATCTATTTTGCTTATTCCTTGTGATGCCAAAATGTGCATGAGTGAATGTATGTATGATTATGTATGCATACAGATATATACACACTGCCTGAGGAGAATTTAGAGCTTATATCCTACCTATTTATTGCCTTGTTAATGTCAATATACTTTAAGAAATGATTTTAACACATAGTCAACACTAAACTCTTTTGCAAAACTCTAGGTTGTACTAAAGCAGTTCTCTACAGTGAACTTCTGCTTGCACTTCAAAATTTTCTTTTTAACAGTTGTCCTTTTATTTTAACTTTAGGAGATACACCAGAAAATTCTGCAACAAGAACACCATGTGACATTACTCCAAGAAGAAACGGATTGTCCTGATGTGGATGAATTAAATAAGCAGCTTAAATGTGTCACTGATTTATTTAATAAGAAGAAACATGTGTTTCAAGATCACTTTATCGGTGTTTTGAACCGTAAGCAAACGCATTTCATGTTTATGTAGCTTTATAGGTTTGTATTGGCCATCATAATCATTTAAAGTTTATGCAATTAGTTTCTTTTTAGTTCGGTGTCTGAAATTGCTTCGATATCTCAGACTGCTTCAGGATTCTGAGCAAGATAGATTTGGATAAAAATGGCTTTTGATTCCAACAAACCACTCGATCTGAATCAAAGTATTTTGTTTCTTATTTTTACATTTAAAAAAATAGATGAAAGAAGTATAAAGCATAATTCAGGAACAAATGTCAGAACATTTAATTAAAAAAGACAGAAATAAAATGTTTTCTTTTTTTTTGCAGTCATTTTTTAATTTAATCTTAGCTATGAGAATGAATAGTGTTATTCGTTACTTTTTGTTTTATGCAGGCACAGGATTGTGCAGCTGTAGAATTAGGCCCAAACAACTTCAAGTAGTTTTTGGGTAACATTTGTTTGTGTAGAAATGAGAAAAGTTCCCAATAGGCTAATCCAGGTCTTGTTTACTGAAACTGCTGTGTATAGCAGACTGTCCCTCCCAAGTGAACAGCTATATTTATTGTCAATTAATAATGGGTAAAAAAAAAGTATGAACTGCAGCATTTCCTGTCATGTGGTCTGTAGTGAAAAGCAACCTTTGACAGTAGGGCTGATAAATGTAATTACAAATTGTCTGAAATCTTCAGTAGGATTTTCTTTTACAGAATACAATTAATGAAGAAAATTGGAATGTATCTTTCAGGTCAGTGCAAGAATTTTAATGACTGGTTCTTTTTTTCCAGCTGTCTTTGAAGGACTGCTTTGACTCCTCAGAAACAAAACCAATACTAGAAGAAAGACTGCAGAAGATAAAGGTAAAGTATTAAAGTGTTCTAATTTCTGAAGCTCGTTGTTCTTGAGGTTTTACTTTTTTACACAGGAGACTATTCTTGGGAGTGAATTCACCTACTGTAGTGTTGTAACTTGAAGCTGAAAGCGCATTTCATGTAACTTATAGAATCACAGAATCATTAAGTTGGAAAAGACCTCTAAGTTGATCAAGTCCAACCGCTGATCTAACACCACCATGCCCGTTAAACCATGTCCCAAAGTGCCACATCTACACATTTTTTGAACACCTCCAGGGATGGTGACTCCACCATTTCCCTGGGCAGCCTGTGCCAATGCTTGACCACTCTTTCAGTAAAAAAATTTTTCCTAATGTCCAATCTAAACCTGCCCTGGTGCAACTTGAGGCCATGTCCTCTCATCCTGTCACTTGTTACTTGGGAGAAGAGAACGACCCCCACTTCACTACCACTTACTCCCAGGCAGTTGTAGAGAGCGATAAGGTCTCCCCTCAGCCTCCACTTCTCCAAGCTAAACAACCCCAGGTCCCTCAGCTGCTCCTCACAAGACCTGTTCTTCAGACCCTTCACCAGCTTCGTTGCCCTTCTCTGGACACGCTCCAGCAACACATAAAGCATTAGGACAGTAAGTGGAATGAAAATAAAACTTTGTTAAAATGGAGCATCAGTGTTCAAGTTCAGACATAGTTGGGCAAGTGAGAGCTAGGACAGTAGTTAGTGAAAGTCAATGGACCTTGACCAAGTACTTCAGCGTCCAGAGATGCAGATCGAATATATAGAGAGTAAATTGAAGTTCTGACCCCCATTGGATTAAATTGTGAAAAATTTGCATTCACATTATTGTAACCAGATTTTTGCTCTAAATCAGACAAAATCAACAGAAAATAGAAGGAAAAGCCGCAACATATGCAAGAAGCAATCACAGTTGAGCAGCAACGCAAGACATAGTGATGTCAGTGCTAATTTGAATGCTGCTTGACTATTTCTTCTGTGTGTATTTGTGCTGTAGAGAAGAAAATCCAAGTCATCTACTTCAGTTTCTCCTTATTTTACAAACATCAACTTTTCCATTTACAAAGGGAATAGTCAGCAAACTGTGATGTAACATATATTCCATTTCAGGAACTGGAATTGCTGTAGAAAATACTGGTGGAGATAACAGGAGTTGAAAAACTCTTGTAACATAAATATCTGTGATACAACAGCAAATTTGACAAATGCATCTTGTATTTGTGCTCTTATCCAGCACTTCCTAACATCTGAAGGCAAAGACAGAGATATCCAAGAGGTTAAAACTTTACTGAATAAAGTGAACCATTACCTGCCCAAAGCAAGCATCAATCACCTTAACAGCCGTGTGAGGGATCAAGAAGCAGAGCTACAAAGGCTGATCTCCAAATGTCAGAAACGGGAAAAGGAACTTGGTGCTTCTCTCCAGCAGCTCAGCAGGTAGGCAACTACTGTAGTTTCTGACATTTTACTCACAAGTGATATAAAATGATTAATTATTAAACAGCCATAGTGAATAGCAAACAACCCTGCTTTTTATTAACAGTGATATTTTAATAAAGGGGAGTGAGTGTTTTGTTGTATGCTTCATGTGGTTTTTTGCTTCATAGCAGACTCAGTGGTGTATGTGAGTATGTGCTTATGGATAGTTTCAGTGACGTGAAGCGAGATAGTTAAAATTAGGCTTGTGCTTAAAACTTTGCTTGATCAGGCACATGATATTTATGTTACTTTTAAGGCAAAACACTACTCAGCAGATTTTAGTCACATAATGCCTCTCGTTTTGACCTGTGTCTATATTTGTACTCTCTTTAGCCTTGAAGAAAGCAGCACGGTCTTGGAAGAATGGCTTGCTGCTCAGGAAGAAAAACTAAAAGAGGTCGAAAAAGATGAGACAAAACTTGAAAACTTCTATAAAACACTGTTAATGCAGAGGTATTCTTTTCTTTGGTTTCTAAGAACTATCTTCTACAGAAGATTGCTCCAAGTTATTGCAGCAAAGAGACGTTTATTAATTTTTTGTATTTTTCAGCAAACCATTTGACTCCATGGCTCAGCTAGCAAATTCCTTGCAGGAGGCTGGGCTGACAGAAGACAAAACTATTTCAGAAGCCAGTGATCTTATTACTAGATACCAGACACTGATAACACATGTAAATGAAATGGCAGGGAATACTGAGAGTCTTCCAGTGGAAGGACAAAATTTTGAAGAACTTGCCCAGGATGTTTCTTGCTGCATCAAAAAGCTCGAGGAGGCTGTTAATAACCTGAGTTCACAGGAAAGTGAGTTGTCATCAGATGAAAGGATAAAGGTATTGTGTTAAATGTATTCCTTTTCTACTGCACAGCTCATGCTAATAGCAGAGGAATGCTTGATGAGTCAGTACCGCGTAAAAGATGCCTGTGGTTTTGTGGCTTATTTGGGGAGAGGGGGTGTGTTTGTGGTTTTTGTTTGGTCTTTTTGCGTAGTTTATTGCACACATAAGATGAGCTTCTCTGCTGCATCTCTGGGTGGAGCAGCACTGAACCGGTAACGTGCTGGTGGCCGTGTGCCTTCCCGTCATAGCCTACTGCAGAGGTGGAGAGGGAGGTCAGTGGAGAGGGAGGTCGGTAACGCGGCTGGGGCATCTGGAGAGCGTCTGCAAAGTGTGTGGCTTCTGGAGTGTCCTGCAGTGCCGTGGTGCTGGGCTGCTCCACTGCATGGGTGGGTCTTTCAGGCCCCAATGTCCTTTTTAGTGTCTCCTCTCTCTGACTACTTAGGATGAGGATGCTGGGATTTACATGTTTTGTTCTATGTAAGGTCTAGTATTGTGACAAATATCTCTCCCTAAGATTTGGAGCATTTTTTTTTATTTGTCGGCTCAATATTTGTTTTGTTACGTAAAGAATGATTAATAATCAGCTTGATTATCACAGACTTTCTAAAACTAGATGATTTATCCATTTATGTGATATATTGGAAGGAGAATTCTTTTGGTTTGAACAGCAGGGTATGAAATATGAAAAAAATCATTGGTAACACCTTTTATTTTGTAAACACAAATTGCTGTATATGTACTCTTCTGCTTCTTGTTCAATACAGGAAATTGCAGCTCTCAAAGATGCAGGAGAGGCCAAAATACAGAGCATGGTAGCTCTAGGCGAAACTTTAATGA